CGATGCTCTTCATGTCTGCTGGCTGGGAAGTAATTGTGGCAAAAAAAGAAGAAATCACCAACTTGTCGTGGCATGTTCTTCTGCCTGCTTGGATTTTTAAATGCAAGTATCTTAGGCCAGCAAAGACTTGGCAATAAGTGAATGCAGATTTCAGGCAGCTATTTCTGAATGAGATGTGGTGATGACAGCATACCCTTGTGTAATTTGGCTAGAATTTCTTTCTATGAATCTATTTTAAAACAATGAGAGGACTTACCCTCAGGAGTGTRCTGGCCTACTGAGGCTCTTAGTAAGACAATTCAAGACAGGATGGTGATTATTATAACCAACTATGACTTAAGGAGTTCAAACTGAGCTCTGGCTTTGCCACAGACTTCCAGTCTGACTTTGGGTGAATTTGCTAAATCTCTCGGTGTTCTTCATATGTAATACTCCTTTCCAGACAGACTTGTGAGGGTGCATTGGTCAGCATGTAGGAGACAGGCAGATTTTGTGCCTTTGGATGTTGTGTAAAATAACACAACAGAAACAGAAAAAAACTTGGAATTGATGTATGCTCCATCAGATGGACATAAATAACTGCATCACCAGAAGAATTGCTACTTGGGTGAAAACTGTGGAAAGATGCGCTTACACATCCATTACAGAACAGTAGGAAAAGAATTCTGTTTTATCAGTTCACACCATGATCATAGATTTAAAAACTTGCATCTGTGATTTGCGTGTTTTGGGCTTCAGTGGAAGCCAGTCACAACATATCCTGTCCATTCCTATCTTGTGAGCTACGAGCAGTGAGTCAAAACTTTTCCATTTGCTCAATTGGTAATTTATGCTCATATGTTTCTTTGGAGGAAAAAAAATTGAAGGATTTATTTCCCTGCCTGGGCTTCTATAAGTTACAGGGGCATCGTGTTGATTAGGACTAACAGTCCCTGCATGATTGATTTTGAAGTGGTTTGTCCTTATTGGTTATGCTGAGCTTAATGCTAAAGATCAGCATGCCAATGTGCAGTAAATCACCGCCTAGGGAATATGCAATTCACTTCAGATCTCAGAAGAAAATAGAAGAAATTCCAGGTTCTTTGGAAAATGAAGCTTCAGCATCAACCCAGGGAAATTTAGTTGGGATAATATTTAATTGATAAAACATCTCAGATTCAGATGCTGGGAGAAAATACAATTTGGTCATTCACTCTCAGTTCCAGCATGATGAATTTGTTAYGAAAATAGAAGTGACAGGCAAAAAGACCTGTTGGTGGGCACACAGTTTTGTTGCTGATGAAACTGGGAATAGATCTCAAGTCTACTGTGCCTCACTGTTGCTCAGAGCCTCATCCAGATACAGTGACATACTATGTCTACGGAAGCTACTCTTGAAAAATTTGAGCTATAARGCTGCAGAGGGTGACTTATCTGAAATACAGGTAAGCACCAAAGTTGGYGACCTTGCAAGCAAGTTGGTTATCTTACAGCAATCTGATCTTCTTGCTTGAGAATACAACTATTAGAGTGTCCTTAGCAGTGTTTTGCTGAGACAGAGTGTGTTTTGAAGAACAAGTTTCGAATAAGGATAAAAGCAACAGGAGGTCAGGGTTCCCAGTGCATATATTCAAAGTAATTAATGGATACCCACGAGGCCAGCAGTCATTATAGGTTCAGCTCATCTCTTAACTTAACATCAGACACTTTTTCAGTTGAACATACTTCAGGTCTGAAATGCAGAAGAAAGAAATGTGCAAGAGGAAGAGGCAGCAGAGCCTTTCTTTTAAATATGGAAATTACTCTTCAAATRTCTTTGTTGACAGCTGGAACGGCACAAAATAAACATAGGTCTATTTGCAAGTAAGCAAGAATTAGCATAAACAGCAGCTGCTGCAGTACCAAAAAACATGTAACAATAAAGAAATGTTTTTTCCTGCTCTCAGAAACAAAGGTAGGTAAAAAGCCGGCATGAAATAATGAGTAAGTTAGCCACCTGTTAAAGTTCTGAGCACCCGCAAAATGAAAGAGCCATTTGCTGATGGCATAAGCATTTTTCTAAATCAGGTTTTCTAATTAAAACTGAGTCTGTCCTTATGATAAAAAAAAATGCAATGCAGTATCAAAAATGTCCTTTTGCTCACACCTCCTCTTTTCCCAAAACAGGGGAATTCCCACACTTGCCTTCTCAGTTGCTTTCTCCATCCAGACAGTTGTGTCAAATTTTTCTGAGCTTACTTGGACATAATTTTGTACTTCTCCAGCTTCGTGGTATATAAAGTCAAGTCAGGTCATCAATGTATACAATTGTATTTATGGCCAAATTGCATTCAGCAAGGTAGGTTTGTGGTCTTTTGTCTCCATTTGTTTCTCCAGTAACAGCTAGTTAGTACCATACTCAACAGCATTGTCATATTTTAATACAAACTAATGATCCAACACAGTCAAATACAGAAGCGAGAGCAGAAGCAATTTTAAGTGCATAATTTTAGATTGATCATGCTTGAGTTTATCACTTAATCAGTTTTCCAAAGAATGTGCCTTACCTATTCAATCAACTTTCCAATGTACTTTGTGCTTCCAGCCCAGCTATCTGCAACCTCTATAGATGAGCTTATCTAGATTTTCTTGATCTTTTAGCAGTATGGCCCACATCTGTTATTCATTTGTTTGGACTTGCAGCTATTTGTCTCTACATTTTTCTGACAATACGCTATTTTTAAAAATGAAAGGACTCTAAATAATAGCCCTCCTTATAGAGAGCTTTATGTCTTCAAAATGCCTGTGCAATGTAAGGCCACATACAAAGCGTCCCAAAATCAATGGGAACCTTTGCACAATAAACTTTGGATCAGAATAGCCCAGAGTCAGATCCTGATGCTGTTATGTGCCAAAACAATCTCTTGGGTTCAAGGGTAACTAAAATTATTTGAGAAAAAGATTACTCAAGCTCTATAAAGGCGTCATAATCTGCTATGGTGTCCCAGGAGAAAGAGTGTGGGTAGCTACAGGTAGCCCTTATGCATGACAGAGGAGGTCTGATGATGTGCTGATGGCAATGCAAAAMCCTGGTATCAATGATATGAAGAAATGTCAGGGATTTTTTAAAATATCATGACCTTGAGGACAGAAGAAGACAGAGGAAATGGAAAAACTGCTATGAAAACTTGATCGAATCCGGAATGTGTCATTTCAGAAACACTCCACATAGACCACATTGCTATTTCTAAAACAAATATTGATTTGTGAATTTGTACACGTTAATGACTTGGAATATAGTTCTGTATATGATTTGATATATGATATATTTCTTAATTTGATATATTTCTTAACAGCTTTACACCTCAGTTTATCTCTAAGTAACAAGCACTGTTGCTGTTCTTAGAAATTTACTGAACTGCTCATGGGAAATGCCCATGCAGAGCCCTTCGCAGGGCTCCGAAGGTCTTTGAGGCCTTCCAGCTATATTGAGATTTATTCCATACTGCCACAGGAGAGAAAGAAATGCTCCCTCTCACTGCATCTCAAAGCCAGTTACTCTTTTAATATCACAGGAGCGATGTGCAACAGAACTGAACCAGAGTTTGGCGAATCCTATTGCATTAACCACCAGCCCATAGCTTCTCCATCTTCTGCTTTCATTTATTTTTGCAGCCCTGCTCTCAAATGCATTTGTTATTCAGGACTGCCTGACGYTGTTGCCCTGGGCACATCTCCATACTGTGATCTTCTCCAARCCATCACTTCCTGTTCCTTTAGGAACCCAACAAGGACACGAGTCGGCAAAGATCCAGCGATGCAGACCCGGGTCAGTTGCTTTGTTCCCATTTTGGATTTTTATGCCCTTTTGTGCCTTTGCCTTCCACTCTGCCACTCATTGAGACAACGTTTTTATTCTTCAGTCTCGTCTTCCTGTAGTGAATAACTTCATGTTCTGCTGGGGACCTAATAATTCACTGCTTTTTTATTTTAATATCTGTCCTCCTGCTACCACTCCTCCCCAAGCTGAGAGCATTCAAGCCCCTTCTATCTACTTGTTCTCTGAAAACCGTATTCCGTGGGGAGCCGTCGAGCTCTTATCTTCCACCTCTGCCTCTGGAGCCGCAGCCGCTCTTGAAAGGAGGCCACTTGAAAAGAGAGAGCAGCAGCAGTATGAATTCCTGGCACATTGTTTTACCCTGAAGGAGATATTAAACAATAAGCTTTTTTTTTTTTTTTTTTTTTTTTTTAAACAAAGGCCTCTAGTAACTGCACCACAGGCACTGACTCTGATGATATAGTATTAATTTTAGGCACTAGCTTCAAATTATCTGATTGCCATACACCTTGCTTGCTCATAATATTTGACCAGCAGACAGATATTTCCTTTTGTGGAAATGCTGCCTTCTTAGCTGTTTAAAGAATATAAACTTCAGGTTCTCCAAGTGGCAGTACCTCAATATTCAGCTTAGAAGGTGTGCAAAACAAGCCATTTGAAACCCTCTCACAAAGGACCACAGTAATAATCAAAAGAAGAATCAGCACTACATAAATTATAAAGGGTTAAATATGGAGAGCCAAATTGCCCACAGCCAAGGACAGGTGTCCTTTCTCGACTCAACTATGTGGATAGGTTACTTAGATTTAAACATTCATCACACTCTGATGCAGAACTGCTGTGTTTGCCTGGAGTCCCACACTGGCTGTCCAAAGGAAGCAAAAGACATTTGTTTCCCAGAGATGGTGCCAGGCATTTTTGGTAGAATTGTTCTTCAGTCATCATAACTACACAATGCTATGTGTAATTATAGGATGTGAATTTAAAAAAAAATCACATTTATCCAAAACCTGCCCCACAAACATACTCTTTTCAAATTTGTCTGTTGGCAGTGGGTGCATTCTAGCACTTTTGCTTAACAGAACACATCCCATTTACAGGTGTTTCTCATGTCACACCTGATTGGAATCAAAACCTCGTTGTTCTAGGTAGTGTGGCAGCTTGCAGGGGAAGTGGTACATGGGAATACAAAGAAGTCTTCTAGAAAAGACTGTGGTGGGAGTTTTCCCTTCAGGTATATTTTATACTTATAGCTTGTAACCAACCTCAAGGTTTGCCATTTCTGTGCTTTGGGGGAATGGATGGCACTTGCAATTAAGAGGTAATTATGATATATGACATAATATAGCACTGTAAAATGAACAAAAACAATGGCCATAATAGTTTGATCATCCAAGTCTATAATCAATGTTAATAATCCCTCCTGCAAACAGCCAGGCAAGGCTGTTGCACTTACTTGGCCTTTGACAATGACTCAGGGGGAAGACTGCTCTGCATCTGTTGTGCCTCTCTGTAACTGTAATGCTTTTTCCTGAGCAGGACCAACCTAGACTGTTGCCTTTCCAAATGTCTTATAGATCACGGTGATAATAAAACTTTGAGATATAAAATGCGTCATGTTTGTATTTTGCAAATAACTGCTAACATGATGAATGGGACTCAGGGGGCTGCATTTCAGGGGGAGTTAGTTCCCCTTCGTTCTAGTCATATCTATGAAGTGGTTATGCCTTTCTTTTGCCCTTTAGGTGAGGGGTATTTTTTTTTCTTTCCTTTTGTACTTTGGGAAATAYGTCATTAAGCACCTAACTGGAGTCTTCTCAGGGATATCAGAGGCTTCCTTCATGCTGCAGAGCAGCTGCTGGCTTAAGGTTTCCCATTTTYGTGACTTGTAACTTATCTTGAGCACAGAACTGTTGTCATTACTGCATGTTTGTGCAGAAATGGGCACAGTCTGATCACATAATGAGTCCATGCTGCAGCTGCTGAAGGGCTGTGTATGCCTGGATTTGTGTGCAGAATTAAGGAGGAATTGTGCAACAGCTTTAAACTTGCAATCATGGTGCTTAGAGGAGATGCAGGCTGCAGAACCAAATCTTCCTGGAGTTCAGCTGTGTCCCAGGCCTCTCTTATTTTTACATATTGCTGTTTCATTGCAGTCATTAAGCTCTTCTCTTTGTCTGCTGAACAGGCTCTTAAGTTTCCCATTTACAGTGTGGTAATTATCTTAATCATATTAAAGTAAAGAAACTTCAGTGAGGAAAATAAATCCCTACTGCTCTTCTTGGGCAAACTTTATTTCCTTTAATGTTCTGTGTTTGTATCTTATTGCCTGGACCTCTCCCACTAATAAGCTTTTAATGACTGTTCCCACTGATAGCAGCAGCAGATTCAGTGCACGCTGTCTTTGTTTCCTGGAACAAAATCAATTAAGCTCCTTGTCTCTCTGACCCCATCATGTATTAAGGCTTAACACAACAATTAGAAGCACATTATGGCATTCATTCTTTTATAATTTTGGTTCTATAGACATTCCAGCAAGTCAGGTGTCAGTGCAAAGATTAACTTTGATGCAATACAATGCAGTTTGGGTATTAACTTCTTCAGTGCTCTAATTACTATATTTACATGATTTGCTTTTATAAGAGTGATTTAATGAGCCTGTGACACTTTTTAATTCCCTTACTCAAAACTCTTTTGTGAGTATTGCTATAGACCAAGTTACCAACTTGTGATATAAAATTTTGAAGATTTTCACAGACTTAAAGTGCAGTTGTTGAAAAGACACCTTTAGAATTCAAAGTAGAAATTCAGCAAGCAACTTCAGTTTTCATTACAGGCTCAATGTGATACCCAGGAATGTAATAAATTCTCTTCCTTGTGAGTTATCTTCCCTGTTAGAAACAGGCACGTTATTTCCTTTTCACTCCTTGAATAAGGAGCCACTTATAATTAAAAATTATATACTTCAGAAAATAGGTATATGCCATGGGAGTTGCACCATYTTTACTGGAAAAGAAAAGAGAAAACCCTATTGGGATAAAAAAGATAAAACACTATGGGTGGTATCATCACTGGTCCAAAGGAGCTGTCCTTGTCCCTGTTCCTAAATCCTGTGGTTCAGTTCATGCCTCATGGATACTGTAATTGCTAGCAATGTTGCAGACAGCACTGGTGGGTTATGGGCAACCAGTTGCAGGCTGCAAGCAAGTGGTGACACCATGTGCAGAGAGAAGTAGAAGTGTTTGGCAGTGGCTCAGCAGGGCTTGATGCGTTGTGCAATGAAGATAAAACAAATGTTTGGGTTTTGCTTATGGACTGAAGAACYGTTTTTGCTTCCAAGTTACTTTTAAAGAGTAGCTCAGTTTTGCCAACAAATTCTGGGAGTATGAGTTTTTGCAAGAAGTTTTTGTTCTTTTTTTTTCTTTTTTTCCTCTCTTTTTTTTTTTTTTTAACTTTCCTGCCATAAGAACTTCAACATATTTTTGACTAGATTTAGAAAAGGTGATCTTCAGTCACCTTAGCTAATGGCATGATCACTTAATTGCCAAGCTGCCATCAAAAAACTGAGCACTCTCCTTTGCATTTTTTTTAATTCCTTTTAACTTTAAGCAAGTTATGGGACCTAATTGATCAGCTCCTGCAATCTTTTGCTGCTAATTGGCTAGATGTCAAATGATRAAGAGAATAATATGAGTTCTCATCATTTCACAAGGGACGCTTTGTGCTGGATACCTGCTTTTCTCATCAAATGCAGCAGCACATCTTTTATAATGAGCCCTTGACATGGAAAGATTTCTAGTGGAGTTGGACTGCCTTTGTTGGACTATTTCTCCTTTATACATAGGTTACTTGCCAGTTAAAAGAACGTATTTTTTCCTTTGTATATGTGGGTTTTTTGTTTAATTTACAGTGGTACATTTATGATACAAACTGACTGAACTGAAGTCAGCGGAGATGTGCTGGTAGTCAAGGCTGAGGGTCCTGACCTGCTGTTATGCATCTGCCTGTTTCAGCCCCATTTGGGGGGATATTTCTCTTTGGATCAAACTCAGCCTTCCTCCCCAGTTGGATTCTGTGAAGCAAAGTGGGAACACCTGTTTATTCCTTTCTATGTTTACGTTTTGGGATAGGGATTCTGCAGCAGAAAGAATATGCAGCAGTTATGGAGCCAGAGTCTACTCTTTTGAGCAGAAATTTATTGCAACTATGGCTTTGTTGTGGCCAGAACTAACTTGGTCACCACTGGTATGAAGGTCTCTCCACTTTGTATCTTATGTAGCAYAGAGAAACGTAAAGAAAACGTTCAGGGAACTGAAGAAAATGTTGGATATGTGCGTGTAACTATTCTCTGATCCTGTGGCCTCCGGCCTGTATTGCTGGAGACTTCCTTTATTTTATTTTTTTTCCATTAACTGTAGTTGCACTTAATCTTTCATCATTACATTCTTTGAACTCAACTTTAAAACTTAAGGTTTGATCCCAGGGCTGTCAAGTGTGACTATAATTAAGCATTTATATAATTACACCATGGCAGGGGGAGGAGCTCTAGGGAGTACTTTGGAGTGATCATAGTAATCCACATGCACAGCTGCTAAAAACAGAACACGTTTCCTTGAAGACAACAGTTCCTCAAAAATCCAGATCTAGCTCTTCCATTCTTAATCTGGACCTCATGGCAAATGGCTCGTGAGAGCGGCAAGTTCCTGAAAGTCTCTGCTCTCCAAGTTATGCCTTTAATGTCTCTGATATTTCTCTTTCTTGGGGCATTTCTTTGGTTTATGCTACTTCTGACACAATTTCTGTGTTTTGTATTTATTGTATTGAAGTGACCGAGTGCCCCTGAGAGATCATTTCAATGTGACCTTATGTCACGTCCTCTATCTGCATGAACATCCCTCTAAGTGTTAGAACTGAGCCAACTTTGCATTGTATCCAGAGTCCAAGCAGCAGGGACACTATGTCATATTACTCTTCTCCCCCTGAGACATTGACATCCKCAGTAAATTATTGGCAGATCCTTCTTCTTTGAAATATTGGTGAAATCAGATATATTTGATTATAACAAGTTTCTAAAATATATACAAATTGCAACACTGCTGCAGATTTTGTGTTCAGTCTGTGTGAAACTGCTCTTTTTAGACTTTTCAGTCACTGTCTCTCCTGGGCTGAAGAAGAGCTGTCTCTGAGAAGCAGAAGAACAACAGCTATTTGCTTGATTGACTTCTGCTTGGATGAAGGATGATGGAAGCTGCTGTTGCTGGGGACTAAGGTCCTGGCCACCTTTGATGTCCATGCAGTGCCCTGTGGAGAGCAAAGATACTGGTCCTGAGAGCTGCTTCCCTACTCCCAGAGGTCACGCTCTGCACTTGAGGCTTGAAAAAACTCGAGACAATTATGGGCAGACAAAAGGTGGCTGAAAACACTTTCTGGCTTAGGTCTAGCCATACTTGGTAGAACTAGATAAACCTTTAGACACTCTAAAAAGAGGTGAATCTTTGAATTGAGCGTTGCTGCTAGCTGAGTTCTGAGGGAAAGGACTGGGAACTTCTTTCCTTTTTTCAAAAAACCTATGGAAGAGAGAGGGTAAGGGAGCGTCTGAAGTTAATCTGTTCACTTGTGATACAAAAAAAAAAAAAAAAAAAGGTAGTCCTGTGCTGCAACCATCAAGATTTAATTAAAAAAAAAATGAAAAGAACAGAAACAAATTGAATTGCAAACTTGGTCATGTTATCATCAATTCTGCCTCGGCATTTTCTAGAGTACTGAATAAATTGCTATACTTGCTGTGATAGCCTCTGTTGAAAAYTTTGGTGACATTTCACTTTGAAAAAGGATTTCATTGTTCCCCCCAAATGTGGTGTTCTGAAAGTCAAATTTCCCTTTCATGTCTGTAAGCAAAATTTTCAAAGAATTTTTTTATAAATAATTGGACAGAGCTATTCATAGAACTTCATTTTTGTAAGAAAAATGTCTTTGTTTATGACTGGAGCATGGCTTGTAGAAATGAACAACAAAAACTTCTGGATTAAATGCATAGCTAGCTTCACTTAGTGTGGACTGAAGACTATGTTTAAGTGGGTTTTTGTTGGTTTCTTTTTTTTTTCTTTGTTGTTTTCTTTATTTGCCATGGTACAGGAAGGCACTTTGCTCCAGCCATGTAGATCTGTGCTATCAGAGATTGGCTGCTGGGTTTCTGCACTGCCAGCAGCTTTCCTTTACAGTTTTGATTATAGCTACATGACCTGGTCTTACAGAACCTGGGAAACGGAGGCTGACAAAGCCCCTGCACAATATCTGAGCTCACTCTATTTGTAGAAATGGTGCTTAGTGCTCAGGAGCAAGCAGAGATGGACATCATTGTCTTSTGTGGCATTCCTAATATTCTGTAGGCTTTAGCCTGTAACTTTTAACCTGCACTAACTAAATATTAGCAAATTGTATGCTCTGCTTTTCAGGAATAACAAATTTCATTTCTGAAAAGCATCGGTTTAAATTGGCTTTTCATTCACACACACATGCACACACAAACAAAAAAAAAWTGTCTAATTACTGTTGATATTGGCTAATCTTGCTGTTGTTTTTGGTAGGAGAATAATTGTGTTAAAGGTTTCTATCATTTCCCTAGAATTTTTTTTTCTTCTCACTGACTGCTCACCTTTCCAACCTAAACAGTTATTGGTTTCAGTCTTGTGGTGATTTATTTCTATTTGTTTTTAATTTCCTTGTGCAGTGTTTCAAATGGTACCACAAGCTATGAATGGTTTGGTATTAAATTATGTAGAGGTGCCACACTGCTCTTGAATGCCTGGTTTTGATGAGGTTATTAAAACTCTGACAATACAAATTATCATAGCAACAAAAATCATAAATTCACAGGCTATTCCAGCCTCTGGAGTATGAAAATATTTTAAAGCGCACAAACTGCAGCATGGTGCAACTCCTGTGGCTTGGCATGCTGTGTCCTAGAATATATCAACATTCATTGGTCCTTGATCACTCAAACAGCCAAGTCTTGAGTTTTTCTCTCTATTATTATTATCTTTTTGTGCAAAAAGATATTTGACTTGAGCTCAGTTCCCTGTTACTGGCTTCCTCTGTGACTTTCAGATTATAATTTGGGCATGATACTTAATAAAGGGAGATAAGGGTTTTTTTTTTTTTAATAAGAATAGTCTCTAATGGTAGTACTGGAATGGGCTATTTGAGGTTTTTTTTTTTTTTTGATCAGCATATAAAAGCTGATTCAATAACTGATCATTTTTGATTTAATGTTTTAAAAACTCTGGGTTTGGACCAAGTTTGTGCAAGATGCTTTAAAAAATACTGTAATTCTAGGTTTATGAAAAGGTCTTAGCTAAGTCTCAACACAGTGGTGGAATCCAGGTATTCTTGCTTTCTAATAGCAAGTTGAGGGCTGCAYTAGGATGAGAAAAAAGTTCTGGTGTTTTCCCTTCCATTTTCCCTAGCATTTTTCATATTTGAAGACTACAGCTTGTTTAATTGGTAAACATGCCTGTCCTTTAGTTGTTGGAATGGGAAAAAATAAGTTACAAAGCCACCTTTCCTCTCAATCTCACTGTTCAGATTGGCCTTGAAATGTGCTTAAAATTATTTTGCAGTTCAGAATGGTTTGACTGGGCGAGATACGTATATGTAAGTGTAGGAGGAAGAGTGAGAAAAGGAGTTTCTAGATTTTTCAGTACCTTTCTGGCTATTGATGCAAGCAATTTCTCTCAAGTCTATAGTATAGTCACAGAAGTAAGAAGTAAAAAGAAAAAAAAATGGTTTAAATTCTTGTAAGAATAGAAAAGCAGCGGGCATTGTTTCTTGTCTTTGTATTTTATAGGTCAGCTTTGTATTCCAAGGTTTATAAGGACATTAGGTGGTGGCCATATGGTCTATCAAGGTAACCCTACTGTTTCTAGTTAATGTTTCCGTGGTGAAATCACACTGCATCTGGTAAGTTTAATCTGGAAATATGTCCAAATTTTCCCAAGTCCTCTTTTTCTGTACTGATGTTTAATGCTACATATATAGCATATATAATATATATTCTGCTTAGCAATGTGATTTTTTTTTTCCTATTAAAATACTGTGTATTTAATATTGCATTTATTTGAATAGGTAGATATATCATTCAGTTTCTTGCTTTTTTATAAATGAACACACTGTCTCTCTACAAGACAACATTAAAGCCATCAGCAGGTAATGAGTTTTTTGCCTGGAGTGTGTTCCCTGGCTAAAATGTACTATATGAATATGCTTTACGGATACTTTACATTTGATTTAGTGAAATGCAGACTGCAAATAGTAATGTATTATGTTTCCTCTGGCTCAGTCACAGGCAAACTATCAAATAAGAATCAGGATTCAGCAGCAAACTGTATTATTTAGAACCTGCATAATCTGTTTCTATCTCTGCAGCTAAAAATAAAACTGTCCACTGAACACATAAATATTATATGGAAAGAAAGTGTTCATTTTAAACAACTTAAGCTGTTTTTAAAACTTAAACAACTTTATTTGTTGCTTTGCTGATAGACTACTTCTTAATCCTGGAATTAATAGAATTTCTTATCTGCAAATATGGAAGTTCCCATGTCACAACTTGTTTGCTTTGTTGTTGTGATAGACTATCAGGAAACAACAGAAGAAGTCTCCACTAGTGGAAAATAGATTCTTTGTCTCAGGATATTTTTCCTATATGTGGCTAGAACTGGTGAGGTGTTTTAAAATTATAATAATCACAAAACTTTAATATTGCTATTTTTTCAATATTTCTGGCTTTGTATTCTGAACTTCTGCAATCCTTTGTGGCCCAATGTGCAATCTTTTGTGGGTGCTGAGGGACATTTAGATACTACCATCTCCTGGGACGTCTTTATCAGGTATATCTTAGCCCTCATCAAATAATCCAAGCTTTCACCCAGCAAAACTGGGCGTTGCAAGGCTGTCGGGAACATGCACTTGACATTTGACTGATTGAGGACAGGGAACGTGAATGCCAGGCGTGTTTCTCTCTGCCTGTGATTGGCATGAGGATGTGAGCTTCAGGAACAATTATCTAGTCATCACAGAGCTATTCTTATTTCAAGTCTCATTGAATGCCAACTAGTGGCCCTTTACTAATTGTGAATTGTTTATGATTTTTCGTATATGTAAGCACAAGAAAATGGTCATAACTTTACTAAACTTGAATTCGAAAGCTTTCAAATAAATTTCATCATCAAACGTTCTTAAAGAAACTAACTGTCATGGGCTGAGAGGATGGTCTTTTGTGAATTAAGAAGCTAAGAAACAGAGGATAAGAGCAAATGGCCATTTTTTCACAATGAAGACCACCCAGAGCAATTTGTGTTGAAATTTAGGCTATAAGAGTTTGAATAGTGAGTTGAAAAATTTGTTACTGACCCAAAATAGCCCAAAATGACCCAAAAGGGATGCAGGRAATAAATTATGATATATTCTGCACTGAATTAATAAAACCATTTTGAACTGATTGCCTATCAGGTCAGTAAAAGTGAATGGCTGAAGGAATTTTCTCTTTATTTTGATTTGGGTAGAAATGATCAGGAAAAAAGCTTATCCAAGAGCCTGTGTTGTGGGAAAAGGTGGCTGCCCGTAACAGGGATCCTCAGAATGACACCTGATTGTGGGAARAGAGGTTAAAAGGAATATGGTGGGACTGGATCTGTGAGGAGAAGCATTTCGGGGAATTACTTGCCATCACAAAGCACTTTATTTTCTTTCCCCTGCAGTAAACTTGAATGATCTTAATGACAGAAAATGAGATCCAGCAGGTGTAAACTCCAGCAGTTAAATATTCATGCGGGAGAGGAGAAGCAGGAACTGAATTTAAGTACAGGGGTCAGTTAGGGGGAGGATTCTCCAAGGCACTGAAGCAAAATAGCTGTCAGACAGCAGTGAAGACAGTGATGAAAAGACAGCTGGAAACAAATGTTAATGGTCAAAGTCAGCTTATAGGTAAAACTATGAGMAAGAGACGGATTGAAAAATGTTCTTGAAATGTTGCTGAACCTTTTCCAGACCTAGCATATTTTGGATAGAGATTTCAGCAGAAGATGGAGCAGAATTTGGAGGGGTGTGAAGGCCTCGAGGGAGTAACTTCTGACCTGCACGTGCCTAGGGACACTTAGTTGATTAAATGCAGGGCCTTTTTTTTTTTTTTTTACAAGTAAATGTCATGAAACATGAGAACCCTGAGGAGCAGTTAAGGGGCTTTCTTCCCCCTGCATTCTTCCATGGAAGGTCAGTATGACAG